TCTTGCGCAGGCTGGGCGAATACTTCAGCGCTGGGGCGCATCAGTGCTGCAGTTAGGGGGCCACATGCGAACCCGACCCTACCCCCCACGACCCCTGAGTCGGGAGAGGGTGGGGTTCGCTTCGCTCGGGGGCTCCTGCGCGAAGTGAACCCCGCCCTCCCCCTCAGAAATCGTGGGGGGCATAGGGGTAGGGTTCGCATGTGGCCCCCCGAGCAGTCGATCCCCCACTCGAGGACCGTCCGCTCCCAAGGAGCAGGAGGCCGCCCCCCCGGGCCGCGGGCGGGGATGGACGCCTCGGAGGCGTGCACCGCGTGCGGCCGCGAGCCCGCGGCCCCGGGGCCGCCGTCGCCGGCGGGGGGCGGCTGGCCGGGGGCGGCGCGCCCACGCGCGCTGACGTCCTCGACGGCGGCGCCGTCGCCAGAGGGCCTCCGAGGGCCTGCTCGGCGTCCGCCCTCTCGGCGGGCTTGTAGAGGGGGGATTGGTGCCAGGGTGGGGTGCAGAGCAGGAGGAGGTACCCTGATGCCTCTGTCCTTTTCTCGGTGTCGCTCTTTTGGGGCCTCCTGGGCGGCCCTCGTCACCACCGCTGGATTCGCCTCGAGATTCTGGTCAGAACGCACCCCGGGAGAGGTCCAGGGAGTAGCGGTATCGGTACTTTTTTGTTTCTCCAGGGGTCAGGGAGCGAGCCTGGCCGGGTGTTCACAGTTCTTTCCGTCCCCCGTTCGGAGCGCTTTTGTTTTCTATGGCTCCACCTCTGCCCCTACCTGAAGTCGGACCTGTCCCTCCACAGGAGGAGTATCAAACAATAATATTAAAAAACAAATAGTCGGGGGACGATGTCTTGACTAATGCTTGCCCATCTTGGGGGGTATTTTTGAAGTATTGTTTTGTTTTTCGCCCAAGATCCCCCTGTGTAGGGGGACACGCCCGAGTTAGCCCTACCCCGCCTTTGCGTCCCGCCGATCCTCGCGCTCGACCACACCGAGCAGCCGCGGCGGTGCGCGTGGGCGCGCCTCCGAGGCCGGGCGTGGCAGCAAGGCGGGCGGGCATCTGCGCATCTGCGCGCAACGCTTCGGTACTCAGTCATTCAAGCAGTGGCGAAGCGTCCTGGCTCGCCTATAGGCCTACCAACAGATGTGCTAGGATCCTTTTGTGGCTTCCACAGAATGTTCTTCGAACATTTCTGGCTGGGACTGTCTTGTTTTATCACATTGGGCTTATGTTCTAAGAACATTGTTTTCGTTTTTGAACTTGTTCGGGTAGCCCTATAGGAATGCCGGCACGGTCGGTCCCTGCTCAAAAAATGCTTCGGTATTCAGTCGTGACAGATTGCAGCTCCTCCTGCCCCCCTCGTCTTTCTTCTCCTCCTTCCTCCCTTTCTCGGGCCGAACGAAAATGGGGAGATAGGGAAGGGGGGGGTACGAAATCTGCTGCATGCAGCTGATTTCAGCCCCACTCAGGGGCCCATTCCTCGAGACATGGCCGCCTCCAGCGCCGGGAGGCGCCGGGAAAATCTGCGCAAAGCGCTTCTGAATTCAGTCATGACAGATTGCAGCTCCTCCTCCTCCTCCCCCTCCTCTTTCTTATCCTCCTCCCCTCCTTTTCTTAGAAGCCAGGGGGGTGCTGGCAAACCCGTGGCTGCTAAAACGGAGCTCCGGGTAATTGCTTGGTTCTTCCGGGAAGCAGCCCGTTCATCTTCAGGCTTGCGTCTTTGCCAGAGCGCCGCGCACGTTCGCCTTAAACGTGAACAACCGTTCCACGGCTGGAGGGCGTGCCGTTGTTGAATGGTGCTCTCGCCTGAGCGCCGCGCAAATTCGTCTTGAAAGCTTGCGACAGCTTCACGGATGGAGGGCGGCCTGTTTTGAACATGTGGTTCTGATTTCAGCGCCGCGCACATTAATTTTCACAGTTTGCACCAGTTTCCTTAACGGAGTTCGATTTCTTTTCGGACGCGTGGTTCCGCCACGCGCATTCGATTTGACAGTTTGCAATCGTTTCAAGTATTCGTAGGGTTAATATCGCAGAGATGGCGTTCTGGTGAGAGTGAGGGTTGTCAGGACGCAACAGTCAAGGTGATTTGCGGCGCTGAAGTCCCAGGAGAGGCGCTCTTGTGCGAGCTGGGACTGTCAGGACGCAACAGACACGTTGATTCGCGGCACTGACGTCCTAAGAATGGTGTTTCGCCACGATTGAGTGTTTTTGGGCGGTTGTCTTCCATCGGGGCACTCCCAGCAATTATCATCGATTCTTGTCGGGATCTACAACAAGGGACAAGAGTTGATCGCAACATCGTCGACGCACCTCAGGTTTACGCTGGTCCTCCTCCTCCTGGCAATTTCGACGTACAATGTTTGCTTCGTGGAATTCATATCCCCCCGACGGCTTTCACGCCTTCCCTCACTTTCTGTTGCCAGCGCAGCCCTGGACGTGCATGGCGCGCCCGCTTGCTTGCACCCCTCGTTTGGGCCTGTGGGCCTCCTGGCAGGCCCGCGTCGCCACGGCCGGACTCGCTGCGAAACCCTGGTCAGAACGCGCTCCCAGAGAGCTCGTGGGGGGATGGCCACATTTTCCACAACCGCTACCATATGTAGGACGGGGAAGAAGGGAGAAGGAGAAGGGAGAGGGAGACGGTGAACCATATGTTGGCCAATTGTCCTCCTCATCCTCCTCCTCCTCGTCTTTCTCCTTCTCCTCCCTCTCCTGCATGTGGTAGTGGTGGTGGAAAGTCGGCCCATCCTGGGGAGCAACGGCGTCGGTATATCTCTTCGTGCCTCTCACGCGGGATCCTCCGAGGAGTGGCCGAGCGGCCCGGTTGGCGCGGGGGCAGACAGCTCCGAGGACCGCCGTGGGCAGCGGGCAGCGTGGGGGGATACGGCGATCGCAAACATGGATCAAGGGGGCGTGGATCAGCGACGGGTCCCGTTTCCATGGGACATCGCGGATTGCCTCCGCCGAACGAGGCGGCACCGGCCGCATTTCGGGGGAGGGCAACTCCCCCGATCCATGGATTTGGCGACCGCGCGCCAAATCCAGGGATCGCGAATCCATGTCTGCGCGCCCCCAGCCATGGGGGGGGGGAAGGCCTCGGCCCCCAAGCGCCCATCCATCGCCGAGAGGACTCCCTGCGGTGGCACATCGATGGGAGCCTGGTATGCCCTCTTGTCGGCTCTTGCAAATCGACGCCGACGCTGATCGACGCTAAATCGACGCTAATCGACGCTAGCCGACGCTAAATCGGCGCTGTGTCATCGACTCCAGGAGCACATCGACTCCAGGAGCGTCGGCTAGCGTCGATTAGCGTCGATTTAGCATCGATCAGCGTTGGCGTCGATTCGCAAGAGCCGACAAGATGGTGTGGGAGGCTCCCACGAGTTGCAACCCGCGGCTCCACCCAGGAACGTGCGAGTTGTTTTTGCGATTGCCAGCCGATCGCCGATCGATCTGCGATGCATCACCGCCTCCAGGTCGATGTTCCCCTCTTGGGCCAGTCCGCCTCCATCGCTGTTCCTCAGGACTGCCAGGGACCCTCACCTCCTCTCGCTTCTAAGAACAATTCTGGACCGGCGCTTTTGGGAAGATTTCGGCATGGCGGGCCCTGGGATCTTGACAAGCTCGGGATGAAAAGTCGGTCCTGGCGGGGGTCCAGAATTCTGGGGGCCCACGTTTCAGGCCATCGCAAACATGGATTCAGGGGGCGTGGATTAGCGACGGGCCCCGTTTCAACGGGAAATGGCGGATTTCCGCCGCCGAAGGAGGCGACACCGGCCGCATTTCGGGGAGGGCACCTCCCCAAATCCATGGATTCGGAGACCGCGCACCAAATCCATGGATCGCTAATCCATGTTTGTGCGCTTCAGAATGGAGGCGGCGCTTGGCGTCCTGGAGACCTCCTCCGGGGACCTGTGATGATCTCCGCGGGGGTTTCTGCCGAAAGGCGGGGGGTTCTTGAGGAAGAGCGCCGCTCCTCAGACTTTCCTTGGCTTAGGGTTAAGTCGGGCCTGTCCCTCTACAGGAGGGACATTAAAAAATAGTCAAAATAGTCTGGGGGCGATTTTGGGGGCATTGTTCACCATTCTTTTCAATATGGTTAAGTCTTTTGTTCTATCTTTCGTCCAAAATCCCTCCTTAGGGGGACAGGCCCGACCTAAGCCTAGGGCTTACGGGTCCCCGGGTCCCCGGGGCCGTGAGAAGACGGCGCGGGATGGCAGATCGGTCCCGGGACGGGCCCCAGCGTCCGGGTTCCCTCGTGACCCCCCCTCGGCGGCCGCTCTTGGCCAGGCCGATGTTTGTTCTGCCAGGATCGGTGCACACCCAGACATGCGATGTCCCAGTCGTGTCAATGCGGGGCCCCCGGAAGTCCCGACCCTTTCCGTGCTCGGGAGCCTTGAGACGGGGGTCAATGCAGGCGGGGGTCAGCCAGAGCGCCCAATCTTGCAGGATCCGGCAGGGCCAGGGCTGCATTGACCGGGATTTGGGCGCAGGATCTTGCAGGATCGTTCGAATTGACCTGGGTCTGGGTGCAGGATCGCGCAGGATTCTGCAAGGCCTGACTGACCCGGTTCTGGATCGACCCTGGTCAGAAGCTCCCCCGACGGGCGACCAGGTCTGCGGGCTGTTCCTCGCGAGTCGTTCCTGCCGACGGCCCCGAGGCGTGGCGAGGGCCCCCAGCGGCCGAGTGCGGCACGGGTTGCGCTCTGTCCCGACCCGGCCCTGTCGAGGCGCGGCGGGTCCCCGGAGGGCGCCACCCTGGCCCGCCCCAGGAGGGCGCTCCGTGTGCCGACCCGGCCGGATCGGCCAGGCCAGGGCCCGCCGAGCCTCAAGTCGGGCCCGTCCCTCCAGGAGGAAAAGTCAAAGATAGACAGAAAATAGTGTGCGGGGACGATGTTTGGTCTGTTTTTGATCATGTTTTGCACATTTCGGGGGTGTTTTTTTTTATTTTTCGTCCACAATCCACCTGTGGGGGGACACGCCCGACCTAGGGGGCTAGCGGCGCCCTCGCGCAGGAGGAGGACGGCGACGCGCCGCCGCCCATCGTGGTGTGCAACACCTTCATCTCGGTGCAGTGGCGGGAGCGCCCGCAGGAGCCGGGCGGAGGGCAGGCGATCGCAAATTGGGATCAAGGGGGCGTGGATCAGCGACGGGTCTCGTTTCCCTGGGGAAGCGCGGATTACCGCCGCCGAGCGAGGCGACATTGGCCGCATTTGGGGGAGGGCACCTCCCTCGATCCATGAATTTGGCGACCGCGCGCCAAATCCATGGATCGCGAATCCATGTCTGCGCGCCCCCGACTGTATGTGGGAGTTTGGGCCCCAGCCCGCGGCACCTGCAGGGTGCGCAATGCGGGTCGCGGTCGCGGTCGCAGGCGCGGTGATGGGGCGGGCGCGGGGTTGGTCGCAGGCGGGTCGCAGGTGAGTCGTGAGGGAGTCGTGGGGTGGGCCAGGGGTCAGCCGGTGGGTCGCGGGGGGCACGACGACAACAACCACAACAACAGCAACAGCAGCAACAACAGCAATGACAACAGCAGCAGCAACAGAAACTAAACACTTCCACCACAACAGCCAACAACAACAGCAGCAGCAGCAGCAGCAGCAACAACAGCAGCAGCAGCAACAACAAACGAACACAAACAAGCAGAACCTGGGCCACGGACTCGCGTTTCACCCACGCACCCAGGGCCAGGGATGGTGTAAGACTGCTCGGCCCCCTCACTCTGACCCTGAGATCCTGGCGTTGCATTTTGGTCGCAACGGGCGATCTTTCATTCTGTCCCGTTTGGGCCCTGGGTCCGTCACAGATGGATGCAGCTCGAACGATGCAGCAGACAGATGAGGTCTAGGGCTCAGGTCGTGATCCCGCACGTGCTCGCGTCGTAACGTTTTTTGTCGTTTCGTCCCTCGCCGGGCCCTGGGACCGTCAGCGACAGGCCTGCCACGGGGAAGTGGTCGAGAGATCCGGGGGCCCAATGAGCTGACAGCATCCCGACGTCGCATGTCTGAGGATGTGCCTCTACTCCCTGGATCTCTGCTGCGAGCGTTCTGGCCAGACGGTCGTGGCGAATCAAGCCGTGGCGACGAGGGCGACCCAGCATAGGCCAGAAGGACGGAAGGCTAGCGACGTCGGCACCCGAGATGCGACGTCACAACAGCAGCTGCAACATCGTAGGATACCTCCACTGGGAGCCGTGGGCCCACAGCTTCCTGATGTATCCACGGCTTCGCGGGCCAGGCCCCTGGGCCGCGACCCCGCGGATGCGGAGCGCTCTTCTTCGTGGGTGCCCCGCGTGGAACGTCTCCGTGCGACCGCGTGCCCGCGGGATCGTGTCCCAGAGCCCAGACCGCGAGGGCCCGAGGTGTTCGCCGCTCGTGAGAGCATGCCAGCAGCGACCGCGTGCCCGCGGGATCGTGCTCCAGTGTCCAGACCGCGAGGGCGCGGATACCGAGGTGTTCGCGGCTTGTGAGAGCATGCCTGGGGGCCGACGTCGTAGCGGCAACCCCCGGAGGCCTCCACCCAGTCCCCGGGTCCATGGCCTCATCCTGCGTCGTTTTTGTCACGGTCCCGGGGGCCGGCGAGGGAGGCCGAGAATTATCAAGTGCCCTCCGTCGTGGGTTTTTCATGGCCCCAGGGGGCCAGGGTCCAGCAACGCATCGGCAAGGCGGCGCGATCCTCCGACCCTCTACTCGGACCCCATCTAGGAGGCCCCTACTCCGAGGGTGCATGCGATGCTCTGATTGTCTCGATGCGGGGTTCCCGGCTAAGTGGGCTCTGCCCACGCCGCGGAGTTACCCGAACCCGTACGATAATGGGGCATCTGCAGCCCATCTATGAGCCAGCTTGGGCCAGATCCAACCAGCGTGGCATCCCTCTGTAATCCCCTTGTCCCCTTACGGTAGATTCGCGCTCTGTCGACCGGCGGCGACTCCATCGCTGGCGTTCAACGCTGAACGCCGCCGGCGACCCAGAATCGGTCGATATTGAACGATCTGACGTGTCGGAAGCAGCCGATCGCACAAGGTTGAACGACTCCTGCAGAGACAGAAAACCAACACCGAAGTCGGCACGACACGAACCTGCTGGAGCAGACGTCGGGGCTCAAGCGACGGGGGTCAATGCAAACGGGGGTCAGTCAGAGCGCCGGATCTTGGAGGATCCTGCAGAGCCAGGGGTGCGGTAACCCACGCTTGGGTGCAGGATCCTGCAGGATCCAGCAGGATTTTGCAGGATCCTGCCAAGCCTGACTGGCCCAGGTCTGGATTGATCCAGGTCAGTAGGTCCCCGACCGCCCCTGGGACTGTCCACTGCTGCTCCCTCCGTCGAGAGCTGAACCCGTGGAGGCGCGTGGCGGTGGCGGGTTCCTTTTGCGTGGTCCTTCGTGGGGTTCCTCCAGTAGATCCTCGAAGACGATGCGGTCATCCCACCGCGCGCCTTCAGATCCGTTGTTGATGGTCCCAGGCCCACGAGGGCCGAAATCGAGGAGAACCGCCGGGATGGGAACGATCATGTCGTCGTCGTCGGGTGCCGCATCCTTCCCCCCATGGGGAGGGGGATCGAGATTGTTATTGCTCCTTTGGCGCGCAACGGCCGTTGCTGGTGAACCCAACAGGCACCGAGACCGCTACCCCCCGAACCTCTCCCGGGATGCGCTCGGACCAAGATTTCGAGGCGAATCCCGCGGTGGCGACGAGGGCCCCCCCTGGGAGGCCCCCCAGAGAGGGGGGCAAAAAACGGGCGCAGGCCAGAGGCACAGATGGGCACAGATGGGCACACCCTTCCCTCCTCTGCGCTGCCCCCTCCCCGTCCGAGGAGCGCTTCGCGCGCGCCCGCGGGGCCCGCAGCTGCCCGCCCGGCGGCCCTGCCGAGCCGCGGCCCGCGGCCGGCCGCGCCCCCGAGGCGCCGCCGCGCCCCGCCGAGGCCCCGCTCGCCGCGCCGGCGGCGCGCCCGCAGCCGGGCCTGCCGCGGCGCGTGGCCTCGACGCCGGCGCAGCTGCACGAGGCGCGGGGCGCGAGCTGCCGGGGGCGAGGGGGGGGCGTCGCCGCGGGAGGTCCCGAGTCTGGAGGTCCCCCATCCCTCTTTTTTCGTTTCTTTTTTTTTTCTCTCTCTCTCATTCGGCGGTGGGGGACTGGTCCTCACACTTCCTCCTCCTCCTTCTCCTTCCTCCTCCTCCTCCTCCTCCTCCTCCTCCTCCTCCTCCTCCTCTGCCTCCGCCCCCGCCTCCGCCTCCGCCTCCGCCTCCTCCTCCTCCTCCTCCTCCTCCTCCTCCTCCTCAGGAATGACATGAGGAAAACAACAATTGGTTACCCCCTATTGGTGGACTCTTGTCCTTCAATAAGTCCCCCGAATAAAGGATCAGTTGCCCAATATTGAGGAGGGGTCTCAAGACCGTTCAGGGTTGCACGTACATAAATCCAATTCGTTTTCGAGAGTACGCATTACGCCAGCGCTCGTATTTTGCAGCCAGTCTCGCGGATTGGGGGGACTTGCTCATGTACGTGGTTAAGCGCGTGCGTACTTTGTGGGCTCCCTAAGCTCGGTATCCCAGATGGGGTCCGAGCTGTGCAGATGCAGGGGCGATAAAGTGTCGATGCCGCTGCCCTCCCCTCTCGGCGGCGAGCGAGGAGGGAAACGAGAAGGAGAAGGCCTTCCCAGAGGGCGGCGGGGCTTCTCAGAAGGCCTCCCGCCTGAGAAGTTTCCGAAGTCTTCTGTGATGGCTTAGACAACTTCTCCGAAGGCCGGGGGACCCCCGAGCCTTCTGAGGGGGCCCGGCCCCTCCTCACTTCCCCCCTCCCTTGCCGCCGACGACCCTCGTTTTCGCCTCCTTGGGCCTCCTGGGAGGTCTTCGTCGCCGCGGCTGGGTTCGCCTCGGAATCCTGGTCGGAGCGCACCCCGTCCAGGTCCGGGGAGTAGCGGGATCGGTATCTCTTGGCTTCCCCCCCGGGTGCGGCCGACCCCGGCGCACCTGCGCGAGGCGCCGAATTGATCAAAGAAGAGAGAACGGCAAAAGCATCAACTCTTGGCGCTCCGCGCGGATTTCTCGCCTTCGCGCTGGGGCCCCCCTGCTCCTGGCGCGCTCCGCGCGCCAGGGACGGGGGTCCAGCGCGGAAAAAAGAAATCCGCGCGGAACGCCAAAATCGCCATGCACCTCGAGAGGGCAAGGGGGGCGCGGGCCCTGCCTGAAGGAGGAGGCTCGGGAGGGGAAGCTTGACACAGACACACGGGAACGTCCACTGCCAGGAAAGGACCAGAGAATATGCAAAGGGAGGGGACAATGAACATCCATACACCATGAATCAGATGGGGAAGCTTCGAGTTTGCGTGTGCATATATATATATATATATATATATATATATATATTAATATATATATATATATATATATATATATATATTGTAGTGGCCTCCGGTGGCCCTCCGGCCAGTGCCGCCGATCCGGGGCGATTCCGCTGCTGTCGGGGGCAGCCCAGCGCGTCTCTGTTCCTCCTCCTTCCCCTCCTCCTCCTCTTCCCTCGTCACCGTCATCTTTTCCTTCCTGGTAGTCCTCGTCCCCATCTTGTTCCTCCCTCCGTGGGTGCCCGGGGGGAGACGGTTAAGAACAGGGGCAGGAGTTAGGTGTTGTTTCTTCAAAAACGATTTGAAAACAAAAAAGGAAGAACAGAAAACAGGACGCAGGAGGGAGGACAGCAGGAGACGGTCTCCCCCGCATAGCGAGCGTCCCCCGCATAGCGAGCCCCCCCCGGTCTCGATTCCTCCCCGGTCGCGTCCCACGCCCCTCGGTCGCGACTCCCATCCTCTCTCAGTGGCGATTCCCCCTGGTCGGGAACTCCTCAGTCGCGACCCTCCCTGGGGCCGGCCTGGGGCCCCACCCGAAGCCCGGGGAGAGGTCCCGGGCAGAGAGGACGCAGCCGCCAGCGTGGCGGCATGGCGGCGCCGTGGTTGCGTGATGCCGTCTGGTCGCCGCGCCTGGGCGTCGGGGCATTGGAGGGCCCCCTCCCCCCACGTCAGCCCGCGTCAGCCCCCCCCCCCCCCCCCTCGCCAGAGCGAAGCTCGCCCCTCTCCCCCCTCCCCCTCCCGAGCCCCTTCCCCCCCGAGCAACCCCCTCCCCCCCCGAGCACCGAAACGCGCCAGCCCACGTCAGCCCGCGTCAGCCCCCCCTCCCGCCCTTCCCCCCCCCCCCCCTTCCCCCCGAGCACTCCTCCTTCCCCTCCCGAGCGCCCTCCCCTCCCCGAGCACCGAAACGCGTCCAGCTCACCCAGCCCGCGTCAGCACGCTTCGACCCCCCCTCCTTGCCAGAGCGAAAGCCCCCCCCCCATCCCCAGCACCTCCCCCACGAGCACCGAAACGCGTCCCCCCCCTCGCCAGAGCGACCCCCCCCCCCCCTTCCCCCGAGCACCCCCCCCGAGCGCGCGAAACGCGTCAGCCCACGTCAAGCCCGCGTTGGCCCGCCCCCCCCCCACCTCGCCAGAGCCCCGTCCCCCTCCGAGCCCCCCCCCCCGAGCACCGAAACGCGTCAGCCAACGTCAGCCCACGTCAGCCCTCTCCCCCCCCATTGTCCCGAGCACTCCCCCTTTCCTTCCCGAGCACCCCCACTCTCCCCGAGCACCGAAACGCGTCAGCACAAGTCAGCCAGCGTCGATCAGCCAGCGTCGCCCCCCCGCCCCCCCCCCTTCTCGCCAGAGCGAAGCCCCCCCCCATCCCCAGCACCCCCCCGAGCACCGAAACGCGCCCCCCCGCCCCCCTCGCCAGAGCGAAGCCCGCTCCCCTTCCCCCGAGCACCCCCCCTCCACTAGCACCGAAAAGCGTCAGCCCGCGTCAGCCCGCGTCAGCCCCCCCCCTCGCCAGGACGAAGCTCGAGCAAGCTCAAGCCCACGCTCTCAGAAACTTACACGCCGGATCGGCGAAGCTTCGAGTTTGCATGTGCGTGTGCGCACACACACATACATACACACATACATACACACATACATACATACATACATACATACATACATACATACATACATACATACATACATACATACATACATACATACATACATACATACATACATACATACATACATACATACATACATACATACATACATATATATGTATGTATATGTATATATATAACAAATAAATAAATAAATAAATAAATAAATAAATAAATAAATAAATAAATAAATATATAAATAAATAAACAAATAAATAAATAAACATATAAATACATACATACATAAATACATAAATAAATACATAAATAAATACATAAATAAATACATACATAAATACATAAATACATAAATACATGAATAAATGAATAAATAAATAAATGAATAAATAAATAAATAAATCAATACATAATCAGATGCACCTCTCCGAGGGAGCAGAGCTCAGAGGCGATTCATGCGTACGCGGGGCGCCGCGTCCGCGATTTTTCTGGCCGTATCGCTAGGGACACCCTCCAAATTCTGAAAACCGGTGGCACCCCTCACGCAGATCGTGACGTCAGGGTCCAAAAACACATGGGAATTTCAACATTCTAACATAAAGCCTTCAAAAACACATTGTAATTCCAATGATTTTGACTCCGATTCTCAGAGAATGGCGGTTTCGCCTGAGACATCCTCCCAAAATCGAGCCCCGACGTACCTTCTTGTGCCCCAGACCCAGCCTCGGAGCCTCCTGGGGTTCTCCTGGAACCTCCTGGGGCCTCGTGGGGCTTTCTGTACCTTCTGGTACCCCAGACCCCGCCTCGGAGCCTCCTGGGGGTTTCCTGGGAACCTCCTGGGGCCTCCTGCGGCCTCCTGGAGCCTCTTGGGACCTCCTGGAGCCTCCTGGGGTCTCCTGGGGCCTCCTGAGGCCGCCTGGGGCCTCCTGGGGCCTCCCGGGGCTTCAGAACTACATGCACATATAGAGACACTAATCACACCCAACACATCGCACGCTAGACAAACATAACACACACACACACACACACTCAACACCTACAACGCACAGAAAACACGCACAGCACCGAGCACCTACATACACAACACTCACAATCCCAGGGCCTCCTGGAGCCTCTTCCGGTATCCAAGACGGGCCTCCTGAGGTTCCCTGGGGGGCCTTGGTACACACATCGCAAGGTGTGGCAACCCCACTTGCGCCAGAGTGCGACCTCGATCTTAGATTATTCTGCGTTCACCTCCTGCCTCTTCCCCTTCTCTTAGGCACGCCCTAGCGGCGCCGCCCCAGCTTCCCCTTCTCCATCTCCGATCCTGCAGTCATGGTGTCTTCCTGCTTCAAACGCCATTTCAGTTTTTTTTGGTATGAGCCTGGGCACACACGCGCCACTTGTATACATATTTACACATACATATATATATATATATATATATATATATATATATGTATATTATGTCGGCGGTGCCCGGTGCGGAGCGCCCCCCCCCACGGAATCGTCTTGGGGGTTTCGTGCAGGCCGGACGAAACCCCCCCGGGATCCAGGAAAACCCCCCAGGGCCGGTGCGCCCCGGCACGAACCCCCCCGGGACGCCGCGCCGTTGCGCCCCGGTACGAAGCCCCCCGGGATGGCCAGAGTGCGGGGGTCCAGCGGCGGCGTCGGCGGCGGCGTCGGCGACGGCGGCGTCGGCGACGACGACGACGACGGCACTCCTCGCCGCGACAACGACGCTGACGACGACGGCGGCGGCGTCGGCGACGGCGGCGTCGGCGACGACGACGACGACGACGACGACGACCACGAGGACAACCACCACCACCACCCCGCGCCCACAGGGGGGGCGGGGGGGGGCCACCACGCCACGCCCACAGTGGGGGGGGTCCATCGCGCGGGGGGGGGCCCGATGGCATCAGCATGAGGGGGCCTGGACCATCTATCTCATATCCGTCCGTCGATCCGTCCATCCATCCGTACCTCCATTCATGCATCTAGTCCTCCCTCCCACCCCACGCCCGCGCCCCAAAGACCCACCCCTCTCGCTCCCACGCAGCCCCCCCCCGCCCCCACAGAAGCCCCCCCCACTCCCACAAGAGCCCCCCGCCCCACTACCAGGTACAGGGGTTTTGGGGGGGGGGGGGCGCCGGTGCGCCCGGTACAAAACCCCCCTGGGAAAGAGGGAGAGGGGGGGTTCCAGGTCGTCGGCGGCACCCGGTGGGGCCCCCCCCGGGAAGTGCCACGGGGCACCGCCGACAAATAGATATATATATATATAATTATATATATACATAGTTATGTATGTATGTGTATGTGTATGTGTATATGTGTTATGTATGTGTATATGTATGTGCATGTGTAATTTGTGTGTGCGTGTGCGTGTGTGTGTGTGTTTGTGTGTGTGTGTGTGTGTGTGTGTGTTCGAAGTCCTCGGACCTCGAACGCCTTGGACCTCGAAGACCCAAACCTCGGAAGCCTCGGACCCCGAAAACCTGGGACCTCGAAAATCTTGTAAACTTCGAAAGCCTCAGACTTCGAACGTTTTGGACCACCATGATCCCAGGCCTCAGGTACCCAAGGCCTCGAACATTTCGGACTTCAAAAACTTGGACTTTCGAAAACTCCGAGGCTCGCAAACCGCTGACCTCGAAAACCTGGAACCTCGAAATCCCTGGAAGCACGGAGGATCTCCAGAGCCTCATGCATTGAAAATCCCGCACCTCGAAAACCTCGGACTCGAAACCCCGGATTTCGAAACATTCCCAAACTTCGGACCTTGAAAATATTGGCCCACCTCGGATCGCGAAAACCCCCAGCCTCGAAAGCCTGAGCATGGAAAACCACCGATTTCAAAAACTTCGAACCTCGCGAAGCTTCAACCTCGGACTCGGAGGCCTCGAACAAACATCGGAAACATCGATGACACCGAGCGCCCCGAGCCTCGCGAACCTTGGACCTCCAACACTTCGGACCTCGTCCTCGAACGTGTCTTCCCTCGAAGACTTCGGGCCTCGACAGCCCCGAGCATCGCACACCCTTGACCCCGACGACCCCGAACCTCGAACACATTTTAGACGTCGGGCCTCGAACACCTCAGAGACATCTAAAACCTGGAAGACATCGAACGCGTCGAAAAACCCGAACTTCGACAACCCCGAACCTCGAAAACCCTGGGCCTCGAAGACGCCGACCTTCCAAAAATCTGAGACCTCAACATCCTCGGACCTCGTACATTTGGAAGACATCGAACACCTCGGAAACCCCAGACCTCGAAAACCTTTGAACTCGAAAACTTCCCAAACCTTGGAAAGTTCAGAGCCTCGTAATCTTTGATTGAGGACAATTTCGAACCTCAAAAATTTCTAAAGTCGCTTACCTTGAAAATCCTCGGACCTCGCAAACCTCGGTATCCGAACACCTCGGACATCGAACATTTCGAGCCTCGAAAACCCCCGAACATCTAAAACCCCTGACGTCGAAACCACGGAACCTCGCAAACACTCGATCACCTCTCAAATTTAGAACACCTCTACAAACACGAACCTTGAAACCCTCGGACCCCGAAATCTTCGAAACCTTCGAGACCTTTGAGCCTCAAAACCTTGGAAGTCGAAAACCTCGAAAGGCTCAAACACCTCATATTTCGAACACCTCGGACCTCGAACACCCCGAAGACTTTGAAAACTTCGAGAACCCACAAGCTCGATATTCCCGAATTTCGAAAACAACGAGCCTCGGAAACCTCGGAGCTCGAAAATGCCGAAGGCCTCGAAAACATAGAAAACCCCGAATCTCGAAACCCGCGGACCTCGGAAACCTTCAGATTTTGAAAACTTCAAATGCCCCGAACCTCGAAACCCTCGAACCTCGAAGCCCCCGAAGACCTCGGAAATTTCAAACACCCCGAACCTCGAAGGCCCCGAAGACTTTGAAAACTCGAAGACGTCGGGAACCCCGAACTTCGAAAACCCCGAAGGCCTCGAGACCTCCGGAATCCCGGGGCCTCCGAGACCCTCGGACCTCGAACGCCCCGAAGACTCCGCCCACTTCGGCCACCCCGAGCCTCGTAGCCTTCGACAGTCTCGACGAGCCCGAAGACCTCGACGGCCCCGAGGTTAAGTCGGGCCTGTCCCTCTACAGGGGGAATATGCAAACATAGTCACAACATAGTCTGGGGACTATTTTTTTTTTTGTGTTTTGGGGCATCTTTGGAGTATGCCTTGAGTATTTCTTTTCTTCGTCCAAAATCCCCCCTGTAGGGGGACAGGCCCGACCCAACCCCGAGGGAGACCCCCCAGCGGCGCCCGACGGAGGCCGGCGCCGCGCCGGCGGGGGAGGCCGAGGCCGCGCCGGGCCTGCCGAGCCTGGGCTCGGCGCTGCACCTGGCGGGGGGCTGCCGTCCGTGCGCCTTCTTCGCGCAGGGCGCGTGCAAGAGCGGGGCGCTCTGCAGGCGCGCCCGGGAGGGCTCCCCAGGGCCGGGCCTCGCGCTGTGACCAAATGACGGCGTTTTTTTTTTTGTTTTTTTTTTTTTAAAAAAAAAAAAAAAAAAAAAAAAAAAACAAAAAAAAAAATAATTATTTTCGGCCTCCGGGGGCCCTCCCCCGGGACCGTCAAAAAACGGTTCAGGATGAAAAACCGGTCCTGGGGAATTGGCCGACCCCTCCGAGGACCCCGCATTGAAAAGATCACGACGTCGGATCTTTGGGCCCGGGAGGGCTCCCCGGGGCCGGGCCCCCCTCGGGCCCACGGGCAGACCTCCGAGGAGGAGGGGCCCGTGTTCCACCACCACCACCACCTGAAGTTGGAGGGGGAGGGGGTCCTCCTCCGCCTCCTCCCTCCTCCTCCTCCTCCTCCTTCTCCTCCTCCCTCCTCTTCCTCCTCCCCCTCCTCCTCCTCCTCTTATTAAGGCTGCCTTTCCTACTCTTCTCCACTCCATGATTATGTTCGTCCTCAAAACCATGAAGTTCCCCAAGAAAATCCGCAGAGCGGTTGCCGCTCTTTATCAGCATGTGTGGGTTTCGGTATCCTTCTGTGGGGTGCAAGACTCTGGATGGTGGGTCAAACGTGGGATCAAGCAGGGGTGCCCGCTCTCCTCCTCGCTCTTCGTGCTGTGCATCGATCCGATCTTAAGGATGCTTGAGCAGCGCCTTCAGCGTGTGCCTTCCGCGCTGGGTGCCTGTGCTGACGATGTGGGGCTCGTCTCACAGGACGTGTATCGAGCTCTGGCCCTGGCACTTCCTGTATTTGATTGTGTTGCCCAGGCTGCTGGACTCGAGCTCAACGTCACGAAATCTATCATTGTCCCTCTCGCCGTCCTCCCTGAACACGAATATCGCCACCTCCTCGACGTTGCCGGTTTACCCCTTTCTTTCAAGGTGCAGCATATGGCTAAGTACTTGGGTATATTTCTTGGGCGTGGTGGGTCTGTTCGTTCTTGGGATGCTCCTGCCAGGAAATGTCTTGGGCAAGCTATTGATACTAAATATTTTGGGTTGGGTTTGGTGAACAGTATCGCATTTTTCAATCAGAATGGTTTCAGCTGTTTGTCGTACGTATCTCAATTCTTCTCACCTCCCAAGTCTGTGCATGAAGCGATCCGTGCAGCTGGACAAGCGTTGTTGTGCGGCCCGCGGAACGCTCTTAGCCCTGCCGCGCTCGAGAATTTAACGGCGCTGGGGCTTCCGTGCCAAATGAGAAGGCTGGATCTGGTTTCGAGGGCCACTCTTTACCGTTCCGCTTGCAATTCGATCGAGTTTTATCGCGCGAAGACGCGGATCCAGGCGATGGCCGCCAGCGACGAGTGTAAAATTCTATGGGGCAGGGATCCCCTATGGTTGCAGTCATCCATGCACGCCCTTATCTCTAACTATGATCAATTATGTGCCGTGTCGAAAGTACCCGTCCCTGGAACTCCGCGGATCCAAGCTGCTACGACGAAATGGCTCTATCATCTTGCCCCCGAAGGATATCGTGTCCCGCTCCTGTATCGGATGAAGAAGTTGGGAGTCTCCGCGAGGTGTTGTGATCTTGACCTAGCCCTGATGGCGCTCCGTCGACTAGAAAAGCTGGTTCCCTCGTGCGTTATCGTCTCTGTTTTGAAAACGTTCTCGAACGGCTGGTGCTGTTCTTCCAGGCTCCGCGGGCCCACTTGTGGCTGCGTTTTCTGTTCGGCGCCTGGGGCCGACAAGTTCCTTCACTATCTTGAGTGTCCTGTTGTTCTGTCTAGTGCCAGTGCCGTATTGCATCTGCCCGTTTTCTTTTCCTCGCTCTCGGGGCCGCAGCGTGCCTCCATCTTGCCCTGGGCCGCCTCTTCTCAGCTCGAGCTTTCAGCGTGTGCGATTTTCCTTGATCTCATCTTTCGGTCTTATCACGACTTGCGGTATGCACCCAGCCTGTCGCCTCCGAGGGGGGCTCTACGGCTTCAGGGCAGGATGCGCGCTCGGTTGAAGCAGCTCAAGAGGCGGGATCGTCGCCTGAGCACACTGCTTGGGTAGGACCTGGGGAGCTCGCCAGGTATCGAATTAGGGTCGGGTCGGCCTAATTATTTGCCTTCCTTGGCCTCGTGCACTCCTCCTCCTCCTCCTCTTCCTCCTCCTCCTCCTCCTCCTCCTCCTCCCTCCTCTCCTCCCTCCTCCTCCCTCTCCTCCTCCTCCTCCTCCTCCTCCTCCTCCTCCCTCCCTCCTCCTCCTCCTCCTCCTCCTCCTCCTCCCTCCTCCTCCGTCCTCCTCCTCCTCCTCCTCCCTCCTCCTCCTCCTCCTCCTCCTCCTCCTCCTCCTCCTCCCCTCCTCCTCCTCCTTCCTCCTCCTCCTCCCTCCCCCTCCTCCTCCTCCTCCTCCTCCTCCTCCTCCTCCTCCCCCTCCTCCTCCTCCTCCACCTCCTCCTCCTCCTCCTCCTCCTCCTCCTCCTCCTCCTCCTCCTCCTCCTCCTCCTCCTCCTCCTCCTCCCTCCCCCTCCTCCTCCTCCTTCCTCCCCCAGCTTACGGTGGTGGTGGCGGTGGAAAAGAAGCCCGTCCGAGGAGGCGAGGCCCGAGGTCGTCCGAGGCGGGGCAGCGGCGAGGGCCCTGCGGAGGCCCGGAAGGGGGCTCCTGGGCCGTCTTGGCAGCTGCCCGGCCAGGGCGAGCGGGGGCCGCTGCAGGGGCAGGGCTCGACCTGAGCGGCGTTTGGTCGGCATCGTGGAACCGATCCCCATCCCCATTAATCCACGCTGGTTTCGAGAGCGCGCATTGCACAAATGTGGGCCCCCTACGATCCCCATCCCCTTCCCCGCCCCCTTCGAGACCCCCGCCAAATCACCCCCCGGTCGGGGAGACACCCATCGAAACCCGAAGGGGACGACTTGTATCCCCATCTAGGGGGGTTAAATCGACCAGTGGGGCCCAGGCCGCGCCGCTGGGAATGGGGATCGGTTAAACGATTCTCATGTGGGCCAGGAGGAGGAGGAGGGCGATCGGGGGTCGCTGCGGCAGGTTCGCGTCGTGCCGACTGGCGGCGACCCCACCGCGTGCGTTTGTTTCATCCAATGAGAAAAAAACGCCATAAACATAAACTTTTGGCACTCCGCGCGGATTTCTTGGCTCCGCGCCTGGGCCCCCCTGGCGGCGCCTCCAGCGCCGCCCCTGGCGCGTTCCGCGCGCCAAGGAGGGGGGAGGGGGGTCCAGCGCAGATCCAAGAATTCCGCGGGGAGCGTCAAACATTTATGTTTATGGCGTTTTTTTATTTTTCCTATTGGAGAGGCCTGACGGCCGGTGCCGCCGACCCTGATCGAAAGGGCTAGGAGTGGGGGGAGGAAACGGAGGAGGATGAGGAGGAGGAGGAGGAGGAGGAGGAGGAGGAGGAGGAGGTGCATCCTTTGTGTTCCCGCTCGAAGAAAGTGCGCCCCGGGAGTGTGATATTCTGACTTGGGACGTGCTCCCGGAAGAGGAAGAATTGCATCTCGGGCGTGCCCGCTCGAGGAGAATGCGCCCTAGGGGGGTGGTATTTTGACTCGGGGCCCGCTCCCGGGACGCCTCTGCGGGAGGAGGAGGAAGAGGAGGAGGAGGAGGAGGAGGAGGAGGACGAGGAGGAGGAGGAGAAGGAGGAGAGGAGCAGGAGGAGGAGGAGGAGGAAAAACAGGAGGAGGAGGAGGAGGAGGAGGAGGAGGAGGAGGAGGAGGAGGAGGAGGAGGAGGAAGTGCATCCCGTGTGTGCCCGCTCGAGGAAAGTGCGCCCCGGCGGCGTCGTATCTGCCCCGGGCCCCCCCCCCCCTCCCCCCCCCGCGGGGAAGGTATCTACGTAAGGGAAGGGGTTTCCCTTCGACTCCACTACGCCGTCGTTTGAATTCGCTTTGGATAGCGCGCTTGAGGAGGAGAGCCCTGGGGGGGGGAGAACGGAGACGACGGAGACGACGAGTCGAACGGAGAAGCCCCTCACACACGCCGACAGGGTCGGCGGATTTCGGGTTGAACGCCGCCCATGGCCCAGAATCGGCCCGTCGTTGAACGATCTCGCGTCCGATCGTTCAAGCTTGAACGATCCCCCGTGGTGTCAGGAACCAACGCCGGGGTCGACACGACGCGAACGTGCCGTACAGGGGCAGCGCTCGACCTAAGCGGTGTTTGGGCGATGTCGTGGGCCGTTTTCGTTTTGACTCTTGCAGCGAGGGCGGGACGAAGACCAATCGCGGGACTAGGAAACCAAGACGGAAACAGAAAACATTGTTTTGGCCGAGCCCTGCTACAGGGTCGAAGCATTTCAGATGGGGTTCGAGTAGATGGGGTCTCAGGATCGCGCCGCATCGCCGATGTATCGGCGATGCGGCTCGATGTGGAGTCCGATGTCCTCCACGCCGACGTCGCCGATGCATCACCCACGTCGACGATGCATCGCCGATGTATCGGCGATGCGGCGCGATCCTCCGAACCCATATACTCCGACCCCGTCCAGGCGGCCTCTAGAAGGTGCCCCCAGCTTTTTCGCACCGATCTCGACCCCTTGGGACCCCCTGGGACCCCCTGGGCCTCGATCGGGGGTCGCTAAGGGTGCCCCTGGCCCAAGGTTCAGAAGCCGGGCGAAGACTGGCAAGAGCGCCGGGACATTGTTTCTTCATCCCAGGAAGCAGCCCGTTTCTCGGTTCGGGATTTCCCCCGGGATGTTTTGCTTTCTTTCGGGAAGACCGTTTTGGCAGCCACGGATCTGCCAGCCCTCGCCCAGCTTTCGGAAGGTGCCCCCAGTTTTTCGCACCATTTTGGGGGCCCCCTGGAACATCCTGCTGGGCCTCGTGAAGGGTGCGTTGGAGGCGGCCTCTAGAAGGTGCCCCCAGCTTTTCGCACCGATCTCGACCCCCTGGGATCCCCTGGGACCCCCTGCAGCCTCGATCGGGGGTCGCTAAGGGTGCCCCTGGCCCAAAGGTGCCCCCAGCCTTTCGCACCGTCTTTGGGGCCCCCCGGAGCCTCCTGGGCCTCGCGATGGGTGGCGTTGGAGGCCGTGGGGGCCTCCCTGGGACTCCTTGGACGCCCGCAGCGGGGGCGGGGTGGGCGAGAGCCAGGGCGAGGAGGGGGAGGGCGAGGAGGGAGAGGGCGAGGAGGAAGACGAGGAGGAAGACGAGGAGGAAAACGAGGAGGGCGAGGAGGGCAAGGAAGGGCAGGGCGAGGAGGGGCAGGGTGAGGAGGAAGACGAGGAGGAAGACGAGGAGGACGACGAGAAGGACGAAGAGGAGGAAGGCGAGGAGGAAGGCGAGGAGGAGGAGGAGGAGGAGGAGGAGGAGGAGGAGGAGGAGGGCGAGGAGGAAGAGCAAGAGGAGGAGCCATCAGATCCTGGCGTAGTTTTTTGTTGTTCCACTGGGCGCTTTCGCCCCGTTGTGAGTCCCCGGGGCCCTCGCAGATCGATCCGGCTTGAGAAATGGCGCAGACAGAGGAATTCCAGGCATGCAGTTGTGTTTTGTGCCGATCTGTTGGATTTCTGCTGCGACGTCGGATCTCAGGGAGGGGGCGGCTCTGGGGCTGCACTGGGCTCCTCCTGCGGGGCCTCCTTTGGGCCCCCCCCCCTCCGAGGATTCCAGAGGAGAAGGAAGTCCTGGGACATCCTTCCCCCTGTGCACTCCTCCGTTCCCTAGCCTGCTTTTCTCTCATGTCTTTGAAATTGATCGAGCGTTGCGTCCGATCTCTTTCTTGCCTGGCGGCCATCAAGGGGCGACGGCTCACGCCAGCCAGCGATAGTCAAACGCCAATCGGACAAGGAGGAGGATGAGAAGGAGGAGGAGGAGGAGGAGGAGGAGGAGGAGGAGGAGGATCGTTATCCCCGTGTTTGGCATCACCTTGCCCCGGTGCCGATCTTGAGGATCCCATCAGTTTCTGAGGGCACATCCCTACGACTATCATCGCCTTGGGATTGCCGATCTTAGGGATAAGGATAAGTTCGAGGCTGGGTAGAGGAGGGGGAGGCGGAGGAGGAGGAGGAGGAGGAGGAGGAGGCGGATGAGGAGGAGGAGGAGGAGGAGGAGAGAAGGAGGAGGAGGAGGAGGAGGAGGAGGAGGGAGGGGAGGAGGGGGGGAGGAGGGGGAGGGGAGGGGGAGGCGGAGGAGGAGGAGGAGGAAAAAGAGGAGGAGGAGGAGGAGGAGGAAGAGGAGGGGGAGGAGGAGGAGAAGGAGGCCGGGGCTGCTCTGGGAGTGCGGAGGGCTCCCGCGGGACCTGTTTTGCATGCTTCTTGGGCTGGCTTTTGGGTGGCCTCGGGGGTCCTAATGGCCGGGGGGTCCCCGTCCGAGCGGAGCGCGGGGGGCGGCTGGGCGCCACGTGGGGAGGGGCCTTGAAGGATCGAAACCCAAGCGTCGGGCGTCCTCAAAACCTCGAGGGGGTCAAGTTCGTCTGCACTTTCGACCTGCGGAGGCCAGCCTCGGGACCCAGGACCGTAACAAATATTACTCGAGATGAACCGGTCCCGGGGAAGGGGTCGAGAGACCCGGGGGCCCGCATCCTGAAACGAGACGCCGGGTGTCTGGGGATAGGTACAGAAAGAAAGGTGACGACGACCAACAGTAAACCCGTCCCATTTCGAACAGGATCGCTGTCGGTGTCGCCGCGGACGCCTTCCACTGGCCACTGGAGGCTCGAAGCTGCCTGCCCAACAGCGTCCACCTGCCCAACAGCGTCCACGGTCGGATTGGGACAACATGTGCGGTTGGGCACGGTACCCAGTTTGTCCGTACCCATCTCGGGCGTGCCGAGGTATTGCCACCTGTGCGAGGCGGGGGAGAAGAAGCGGAGGTGCAGGGAGTGGAAGGACCCCGCCTCCTCCGCTCAGCAGTTCGAGGCTCGAGGATCGAGGTTCGCGTCCTGGGGCGCCCTCGTGGCCACGGCTGGATCCGCCTTGAAATTTCAGCCAGAATGCACCCCAGGAGTGGACCGGGGATCGATGTTTGACCAACTGATCAGGGACAGCGTGGAGGACTCCCGTCCCTCAGAGGAGGGAACAGTACAGATGCTGGTACCCATCCCTTGTTCTCGCCTCCTGGGGTCCTCCTGGGAGGGACCGCGTCGCCGCCGCTGGTCAGAGCGCACCCTGGGAGAGGTCTGGGAAGTACCGGTATCAGCATATGTTTGTGTTTTGTGCGTGCGTACGTGCGGTCCCGCGTGCGCGTGCGCGTGCGCGTGCGCCTGCGTGTGCGCGCGTGTGCGTGTATGTATGTGTGTGTATATGTGTGTGTGTGTGTGTCTGTGCGTGCCTGTGTGTGTCTGTGTGTGTCTGTGTGTCCCTGTGTCCCTGTGTCTGTGTGTCTGTGTGTCTGTATGCCTGTATGCCTGTGTGCCTGTGTGTGCGTGCGTGCGTTCGTGTGAGTGTGAGTGGGAGAGGGAGAGAGAGTGTGTGTGTGTGTGTGTCGGTGTGTATGTGTCGGTGTGTGTGTGGTGTGTGTGTGTGTGTGCGTGTGCGTGTGCGTGTGCGTGTGCGTGTGCGTGTGCGTGCGTGCACGTGCGCGTGCGCGTGCGCGTGCGCGTGCGCGTGCGCGTGCGCGTACGAATGCGCGTGCGCGTGTGCGTGTGCCTGTGCCTGTGCCTGTGCCTGTGCCTGGGCGTGTGCGTTTCCTTGTGTTTGTGCTTGTGTTTGTGTGTGTGTGTGTGTGGGTGGGGGGGGGAGGGAGGGGGGGGCGTGTGTGTGTGTGTGTGTGCGTGTGTGCGTGTGGTGCGTGCGTGCGTGCGTGCGTGCGTGCGTGCGTGCGTGCGTGCGTGCGTGCGAGCGAGCGTGCGTGCGTGCGTGCGTGCGTGCGTGCGTGCGTGTGTGCGTGTGCGTGCGTGTGTGTGTGTGTGTGTGCGTGCGTGGGCGTGTGTGCGTGTGTGTGTGGTGTGTGTGTGTGTGTGTGTGTGCGTGTGCGCGTGTGCGCGTGTGTGCGTGTGTGCGTGTGTGCGTGTGCGTGTGCGTCTGCGTGTGCGTGTGCGTGTGTGTGTGTGTGTGTGTGTTTGTGTGTGTGTGTTTGTGTATGTGTGTGTGTGTGTGCGTGTGGGCTGCGTCCTCCCAGGAGAAGAAGCGGGCGTCCATGCAGGGGGGCGTGCGGCTCGAAGCCGCGTGCCCCGCCTCGCCGCAGGGCGCCAAGGGGCCCGCGTCGCCCGCCTGGCGGCCGCAACGGGCCGCGGGCGCGGACGGCGGTGGGCCCGCGTGCGCACCGGGCGAGGCGCGGGGGAGGTCAAAACCCGGACGCGCTCGCGTCGTCCAGCAAAGTTTTGGAAGCGCGGCTTCGGTCGGGCGGGGCTGGGACGAGGCCATAGTCCGTTCCAGGGCGTCTCGGAACGCTTTCGGAGGGTTCCGGAACGTTCTGAGAAGGCCGCGCCACCCGATAAGTACATTTTTTCAGAGTTTCCCGATTGATCCTCACCCGATGTTGTCTTCGTGATGGCTTCGTCTTCGTCGATCGCAAACTCCGGGCAGCCCTGCGTGCCCTCGCAGCTCCGTCTCTGTAGGCCGCCACAGCGCGTGCTCGCGTCGGGTCGTCGACGAGAGAGTACCGGTTTGGGGTCGAGAGGCATCGGTTTAGCGATTGCTGGCGTCGACCAGCGTCGGTTCGGCGTAGATTCCGCAGGAGCCAGCAGGAGGAGGAGGAGGAGGAGGAGGAGGAGGGGGAGGAGGAGGAGGAGGAGGAGGAGGACCCCCTCCCCCTCCAACTTATGGTGGCGGTGGTGGAAAACAGGCCCATCAAGCAGGATGGCACGGGAGGCTCCCATGAGTTGGCACAGAAGGAGGTTTCTGGTCATCTTCGGCCTTTTGTGGCCCGTTCCGCGCCCCGCGGCCGTCTCGAACGGCTCGGAATGAGATGGCGGCCCCAGGGAGAAAGGGTCGGGATAGCCAGGGGTTCCGTGCTGACATCGCATGCCTGGCAAGGCACCGATGATGTTGTTCTGTTCGTTCTCGGGCGCGTATGGGCCGATACCCAGGCAAGCCCTCCCCCCCTGGAAACAGCAACCGATCTCACGTGGAGGGGGGCTAGTTTTCCCCCCTCGCATGTGCTGCTGCGCGCGCGCACAGTGCGGCGATCGCAGCGCACACCCGCCCCGACGTGCCGCACCCCGCCCGAGCGCACCCCAAGCCCCGACGTGCCGCCCCCCTCGGATACCGACGGCAGTTGCGAGGCACAGTGGGAAAACGCACATCGTTCTCCCCGTGTTGGGCGTCCTGGGAGGCCCTCGTCGCCTCCGCTGGATTCGCTTCGACAATTCTGGTCAGAACGCACCCCGGGAGATGGTAAGGCTTCGGGTTGCCTTCAGCCCTCCCAGGTAGTCTTAGCTGGCCTCAACAGGCCCCCCCGAATAGTCGCAGGTGGTCTCAACAGGCCAGCTGGTACTGTATACACACATACATGGTGACGCGTTTGGCGCACTACAATGTCGGAGAAAGGGTTGATCCTTAACAGCATGGATAGGGGAATCAACAATGGCATACACAAAACATATAACAATTCTTAGGTCCGCGCGGATTTCTCTGATCGGCGCTGGACCTCCCTCCCTCGCGCGCGGGCGGAGCGCGCCTGGGGCGGCACCGAAGGCGGCGCTTTGAGGCCTCAGCGCCCATCCGAGCACTCCGCGCAGACCTCAGAGTTTTCATGCTTATGTCATTGGTTGGACCCCTAAGTGCGCTTCTGTTTTAGGTCCCACACGCTACTCCAGCTTTTGGCTTCCCCAGGGGGCGAAAGAGCAGGACTAAGCGGAGGAGGAGGGGGGGGAGGAGGAGGAGGAGGAGGAGGAGGAGGAGGAGGAGGAGGAGGAGGAGGAGGAGGAGGAGGAGGAGGAGGAGGAGGCCGAGTACTCCGACGACGACGACGACGACGAGGACGACAACTTCTGGTTTCCCCAGGAGGCAGGGGGCTGGTGGGGCTCGCCGAGGACCTCGAGCGGGGGCGGCACGCCCACGGCGAGGTGACCGGCTGCACGCACAAGAGTGGGCCTTCGCCAGAGTGCCCCTTGGTGAGGGTCTTGGGACGGGCATGCGTCCTCTAAGCGATCCTGGGTCGATTTGAAGACGCATGCCCATCCCAAGGTCTGCTTGAGCAGTGGACCGAAGGCGCCGCCCCTCGGCGTTCCCCCACGGACGCCACGCGACGAGAGCCCTCTGGCCCCTCGCCCGCCCCCCCCCAAAGCCCTGAGGGGCAACGCCAGGGGGGGACTAACTTAGGGGGGGGGAACATCGACCTGGAATCGACCCTGGGACTAATTTAGGGGGGAACATGCGTCTTCTTTACACGCGTTTTGGGTAGGTGCTGTGGTCCCTTGAAGGCCAACACCAGCATTCCGCCGGCTACAGGCAACCCGCACAGGAAGGACGGGCAACCTTCCCAAGGGAACATTTGCATCCGTGCCTCCTCGGTCCATCCTATGCCACTTTCGTTGGCCGCGCCCCTCTCGGCAAGCTTCGAAATGGGCGTCCAAGGTCCTTGCATCCTTACCGCTCATCTTTATGATACGGGTTGACTGTACGCCCCCCAAAGCGGCATTCACATGCTTTATGGGATTGCGAAGCAGTTTTCGTTTTGCATTATTGGTGGGTTTTGCATTTTCACGTGATTTGCATGCTTGGCAGTTCTACGCATGAGCAGGGTAGCGGCCGAGCGCCTATTCCAATGCAGGCCCACTGGGGTTAGAGTTTGCTGGGGGTCTGAGATGACCCAGCACTGGTTCAGGCCAGCAGGAATCTAGTTCTCCCAGATGGGGTGGGAGGAGATGGCGTCGAATGATGGCTCGCATCGCCGATGCGGCTCGATGTGGATCCGAAGTTTCTTTACGTTTACATCGCCGATGCATCGCCGACGTCAACGGTGCTTCGCCGATGCATCGCCGATGAATCGCAAATGCGGCGCGACCCTCTGACCCCGTCTACTCGGACCTCATTTGGGAGGCCCCTAGCTGGGTGTCTGAGGTAGCCCAGCACCTGTTCTGGCCAGCAGGAGGGGGGAGCGTGGTTCTGCGTTCGAGTAAGCTTTCTGCCTCGGGTGCTGTGCTCGGGCCCCGGTACCGTCAAGAACGGAGCCATGGTGAAAAACGACACGATATGGACTGCGCGGAAGGGGTCAGGGGACCCTTTTTCCCAACCAACCTGTGTTGTTGGGTCCTCGTTTTGAAGAGACGGTCCCCGCGTTCTCCTCTCCTCTCCTCTCCTCTCCTCTCCTCTCCTCCTCCCCCTCCTCCCTCCTCCTCCCTCCTCCCCTTCTTCCCTGCGTTTCACCCACCCAGCACAGCGCTTCGTAGCCCCACAGGGAGCTCCACCGAAGGCCCCAGTGCCACCGTCCACATGCGTCTCCCCCACTCAGTGCAGCGTTTCGTGGCCACATAGGGAGCTCCACCGGAGCCCCCAGTGGGACCGTCCACATGCGCCCCCCCCACTCAGTACAGCCCCATGTGGGACCGTCCGAGTGCGTCCTGAAACACCCAATTTTAGCATTTTCACCCACCCATTACGCGTTTCATGGCCCCACAGGGAGCTCCACCGAAGGCCCCAGTGCCAGCGGCCGCATGCGTCCCGCACAGCAAGGCTTCTCGACGCGCGTGCAGTGTAGCAGTTGGGTATGGAATTCGAGGATCAAAAACTGCGCGGTTCGCAACACACCTCAGCCAGGATGGGGCACTTCCGCGAGCGGCACGTGGTGGGCGCCGTGGTCCTCGGGCGGTGGGCGGCATGAGCATGGGCTGCCCCAGCCGTCGCTCGCCGACCTCGGGGACGACCTGTCGAAGGCTCTCGCGGGTGCTGGGCTCGCTGGGGACCCCGACGCGACGCGCCCGGCGGCGGAGTTCAGCACCTTGGCGTCCCAGAAGTTGGCGGCGCCTCCTGCGCCGCCCAAGCCCCCCCGCCTGCGCTGCTCAAGGAGGCTACGGCAGATTGTTCGAGAGTGCTGCCAAGACGTTGGAGCAGGCTCGGCTCCAATTCGAGAAGGCCCAGTCCAAGTTCGACGAGGCCGACGACGCGGTCATGGCAGCCGAGCTGCGTCGCCTGGAGGTGCAGGAGGCAGCGAACCCGCCCGAGACGGCCAAACAGTCCTTGTTCGGTGTGGACCCCGAGCTCTTCGAGAGCCTCGACGAGTTCGAGGAGAACGACAAGCAGGCGCTCGAGCAGTTCCAGAAGCAGTTGCAGGACGTCGCGCAGCAGGCGGAGGCCAATCAGAAGGAGTTCCAGGCTCTGCTGGAACGCGCGCGGTCGGCGCGCCAGGCGGCGGCCAACCGGCGCAAGCGCGGCCCCGATGGCGAGGCCGTCGAAGGCGGAACGGGTGGCACGGCTGCGGCCTCCGGTGCCCCCGCGACGCCTGGCGCCGCTGCTGCCGCCGCTTGGCCAGGCAAGTCGAAGATCGTGGTGCAGGAGAGCGACCAGAAGGCCATGCTCGAGCGCATCAAGACCAGCGCTCAGGCGCAGGCGCGCGAGGCCGCTGCTGGCAAGGCTGCCGGCTCTGGCAATGGCGGCGCTGCGGGCTCTGGCAAGGGTCTCGCTGCTGCTGGCGCTGGCACGGGACGTGTTTAGCACGGCGGCAAGCCCGTCCTGCAGGGGCGGGGCTGCAGGAGTACTTCTTCATGGTGTGTCCGAGGGCGCCTCGTCTTTGGACATTTTCTTCGGCTGCATTACGGAGTGGGCGCCGCAGGCTGCGCGTTCCTTGGCCTGGGGGCGGGGGCGCAGCGTCGCGGCCCTTGTTGAGGCGCACAGGGGAGAGAAGGATATGCCAGACATCTGTCAGTCGATTGATGAAGACGGCTGGCGTTTGGTCTACACGGCCGCTCGCCCTTCGGACAAGTCTGAGAGTGGCTTGTCTGGCGGCGAGTGGATCCTCGCGAGCAAACATGTGGCAACGTCGAGCTTTGAGAGTGCTCAGCAGCATGCGCGCGCTGCTGGGCGGCTGGGCCCCTGCCGCGGGCTCGCGCCGACGGCGATCCACGCCGAGGGCGGCAATTTGGCCTTGATTGCCGCCCACCTTCAGCCAGGCCTCGGCGGGAAGGGTTGGAATTGAGACGTCTTGGTGGCGCTGGGGGCTTTCACGCGGGCGTTTCAGACCCGTGGCTGGTCATGGTTGACTGGAACATGGGGCCCGCGGCCTTCCGAGACGCAGGTTGGCCCCAGAAACTCGGTTCCGCTGCGGTGACGCCCAGCTGCACTGCGACGCGTGACAAAGGGCCTGGCCGTATGTATGATTATGGTCTTGCAAGCATTGCATGTGCAGAGTTAAAGCTCAAACTTGAACTTCGCGCCCCATGGAGGACGCATTGCGGAGTTATCGTCGCGGTGAAGGCGGCTCGCGCTGAACGATGGCATCGGCACCTCGCTGTGCCCAATCCTCTCCCTGCGCGTGAGTGGCCAGTGGCGGTGGCAGATCCTGAGAACGAGCTGCCCAGGAAGCGTGATTGGGCAGGGGCAGCGGCGCTTGCAGGCGCTTCCGATCGAGCTGCAGGAGGGCTTCGGTGCGCTGGAGCCGCCAGCTTCGCCGCCCGCGCCGTCGGCGTCGTTCGCCATCCCTGAGGGCGCGTTGTCTGAAGCCCCCGCCCAGCTGCGCTGGGAAGGATGACCAGCCAGAGGGACTCGAGGAAGGGTTGCAGATTTTGATCGGCAACAACACTTTGCATTTGAATGGCAACCTGCAGCGCGCGCCCAAACAAATGATTCTCACGGTGCTTCTCCGCGCTGGTGCTCGCGACCTCGATTCACGAGCTGGCGGAGGCCAGCACATGGATGCAGTCCTCAGGTCGGGCTCGTGGCCCAGGTTGCTACTGGGCCAAGGTATTTCTTCTCCAGGGCGTGCGCACGTGAAGAATGAGCAAGCTGAATGATTGGGCGCAGTCAGAACTTTGCTGTTTCGGCATGCGGCCCTGCGCGCGAGCGGGGCTGATCACGACTCGGTTGTTTCTTGTGCGTGCGAGGCCCAGGCCAGGATTGGGCCTTCACCTGCTGATGAGACGGCGGAGTACTTCGGCAAGAAGTCTACAGCAGAGGAGATCGAGCTGTGGAAGGCGACGGCTGCTGACCTGGACCGGGTTCCAGTTGGGAAGCCCCCCTCCCCGGTGGACACCGCGCGGAAAGGGGGCTGGTTCATTGTCGTCGCGGGCTGCGTTAGCCTCGCGCGTCTCCTTCACGAAGTGGGCGAAGGAGCCCTGGTCGTCGAAGCCCGGGGCCAGGCTCCTCGTTTGGAGAGGGGGGGCCGTGGTTCTACTGGCGCGATCGCGACGGACAAGCAGACGTTACTTCGGGCATCTGCTGCTCAATTGAATGCAATGTGGAGCGATCCAGTGGGCGAGCCGACAGATATATTGCACATGATGGGCCAGTGTTTGGCAGCTGCTCGAGAGGCACCTCTTCCCCCCATCGCCGCCCTGGATGTCGACGCTGCGTTACCTGCGCTGCCCGCGAAGAAGGCGAGGGGTGTGGGCGTGCCCAATCCCATAGATATTCAGCCCCAGCGGCTGGTGGCGAGGCAGAGCTTAGCTGATATATTGAACAGTGCCGGACAGGCTGGCGCCTGGCCGTCGCCCCTCAGATCGGCGCTTGGAGGTGCGATCCCCAAGGAAGCAGGGGGCAACAGAGTCCTGGGATCGGCCCCGACGCCGCGCAAACTTTGGCCCAAGGTGCGTTCGACGTACTCAGGTGAATGGTCTGCTGCCCAATCTGCTTTCTGGGATATTGCGATTGCAGGGTCGCCAGCGCTACGTGCTGCACTTGTCAGAGCTGCGATGGGCGAAGGCGCCGGCGCTCTTTCCTTCGATCACACAACGCGCTTCTTGGATCTCACCGAGTTGCATGACTCGGTGTCGTTCGTGTTGTTATTGCTGGCTGGTTTTTATTCGTGGACTCCTTGCGATCATTCCCCCATTGGAAGTTGGACTTTATTATTCGCCCGGCCTCCTGAAGAAAGGCCATATAATGTCGGATCCCTTGGTGGTTTCACGTTTGA